ACGCGAAAGGTAAAATAGGGGCAGGGGAATTTTCTTCGTCGCGAACGTGAAGGACTGGTCGCGAAAGCGAAGCATTGGGGGTGGTACCCTTCGCGAACGCGATCTGTCTCACGCGAACGCGATAGTTTAAGGGACCTGGGGGAGGAGGTCATGCTCTTCTACGCGAACGCGTCTACTGGGTCGCGAATGCGAAGGCTTGGGGGGAGCTGTCTTATGCGAACACGTAGAAAGACTCGTGAATGCGAAGGCCTTAGGCCGCCGTGTATCGCGATCATGACAGGCCTCTCGCGAATGCGATGAAGGCTGTCCAGCGACTTAAAACAGACTCTAAACACGGGTTTAAGCCATTTCTTCAACATTTTTCAAGAACCAAACGGGTAGAGGCGATTTTCCAAGAGCTATTTCTTCCCCAAATTGTTGGTAAGTAATTCTAAACCATTTTCTTTCAATTACCCATTACATTTCTTGAATTATCAACCAAAAAACTAAAGTTTTCATGGTAGAATTAGGGGTTAGGGTAGAAACTAGGGATTTCGGAAATTTGGGGATTTAGACCTCGATTTGAGGTCGGATTCCAAAACTAATTACATATTCGGGCACGGGGGTGAATGGGTAAAAGGATTTTGGGCCGTACCTCGGGTTTTGATCAAGCGGGTCCGAGGTCGATTTTTTGACTTTTTGGAGGAAAAATTTGAAAAATTTAATTTATGAAGTATAATTGATTCCTTTAGCAATATTTGATATTATTGAGTCATTTTTTAATAGATACGAGTGGTTTGGAGGTGAATTCCAAAGAAAAAGTTGTGATTGAGAAATAACTGGCCTTCGGAGCAAGGTAAGTGTTGTGTCTAACTTTGGCTTAGGGAATAGATATTGTGTGAGTATTTGCTACGTGTTTTGTTGTTGAATACGATGTATAGTTGAGTTGACGAGCATCTATGCCTTGTGGTCGAGTCATAGCATGCGAGTGAAATTTCATTCTTGCAAATTTGTAGTCTTAAATCATGTTATCCATGCTTATTATTGTTGTTGAAATGTTGGGAGACTTGTATCCGGTTCCACCAAGGTTGATAAAATTGTGAATATTAATTCGAGGTTGAGATGTTAAATTGTGAAAGTAATCATTGATGAAATATCGATTTCTTTGTGAAACTTCTCTCTATCCGTTGTTATTGATTCTGTGAATTGTGAGGAAGAGTGTAAAGAACGAAGGGTGATGCCGTGCGTGATTTATTTATATGGTGAGGAAGAGTGTAAAGTATGAAGGGTGATGTCGTGCATGCATTATTTAGATTGTGAGGAAGAGTATAAAGCACGAAGGGTGATGCCGTGTATATTATGAGAGGTTTAAAGCACGAAGGGTGATGTCGTATATATTATAAGAGGTTTAATGCACGAAGGGTGATGTCATGCCGTTCTATTTATTTATTTGGTGAGGTTGAGAGTAAAAGCACGAAGGGTGATGCCGTGCAGTTTTTCTTGCTGTTTTAATTGCTCATTCGTTTAAGGATTTTCGGTTTAATTCTGTCTTTTCATTATTCTCACTCTTTATGTTGTATTCCCCCATTGTATGTTCCCTTCCCATTATTTCTGCGTTATTTATTTATTTACTGTTGTTACCACTAGCATGATTATACTGTTCAGGTTATATCTGGGTGTCTTGTCCTAACCTCATCACTACTTCGCCGGGGTTAGGCTCGACACTTACTAGTACATGGGGTCGGTTGTACTGATGTTGCACTCTGCACTTTCTGTGCAGACTTTGATACCGGTTCGGTTTGATCGAGATTTTTGCTATTGGTCTGCTGTCCGGAGACTCAAGGTAGATCTGTCGGCGTTCACAGACCTTGAAGTCCCCGCCTATCTTTTCTGTTCTATTGTTTCTTACATTCAGACAGTTGTATTTTTTCAGATTATTACTTGTTGTAAATTCTAGAATGCTCGTGAATTGTGACTCCAGATACGGGTGGTAGTAATTAATACAGTTTTATGATATTCCGCACTTATTATATTTCATCTTAGTTAATTATTGTTAATTACTGAATGAAAATAAGGAATTGGTTAATGATTCTCTAACGTTGGCTTGCCTAGCAAGTGGAATGTTAGGCGTCATCACCATCTCGTCGGTGAGAAATTTCGGATAGTGACATCTTCTTTGCAATTAGCTGACCTTCTAACAAAAGGATTGACTGCTGTAAAACATTGTTTCTTAGTATCCAAACTTGGTGTGTTAGTTATAGTATTGAGGATTAAAGTTAGTTACAAGACGGGTATTTTAGACAATGCACACTCACACATGTGATATGCACGTGAATGGCAGTCAGGTTATCAAATACTTTTAAGTGGTGTAACAGTGGATTAATAAATAAAAATCATTCTTCTGCTTCTTCCTCTCTATTCTCTGAATTCTCTAGTATTTAGGGTTTGATTGCTCATGCAAATCTGGATTTTATATTGCCTAAGTTGGCAAGATTACAGCAAACTTCATTAGTTAGATATTTAACAAAATAAACATAGTCAGCCGTATCAGCTTCCAGCTTATTTATAACATAAGAAGGCGGCCTTAAGACTTGTAGTATCTATGGCGATGTACCAAACAATATTATGTAGTTTTATAATATATATTCCCCGTTGTCAAAAAAAAGAATGAACTAATCCTAAAACATCTAAATAATAGCGAAGATGTAGCTTTTAGCAAGCGTGATGACGAACAGACAGACATGCGTCATTCTGTGATAATTCCAATTAAATGTATATTTAACTGTACATTTTTTGAGTAACATCTTTTGAAAAAAATTCAAAGTAGGCGTTTGGACATGGAGTATAATTTTAAGGAAAAAAAATGGTATTTAGAGTAAAGTTAAAAAATAATAATTCGAATTTGAAATTATTTTTGAACATATATTTTACTTGAAAAAATATTATAGTTTAGTGAGTGTAAAGATATTTTTAAAAAACTTAAAATTTTTTATGCACACATACATTTCTAAAAAGGAAATTGTTTTGTTGGACAAACGGGTCCTTAAAATGAAGGAAGAAAAAAGGCAAGTACTTTTTGGCGAAGTCTTCAACAAAGAATAACAGTAGAAGAAACATGTACAGAACACAAAGTAGCACGCATTCAGAATGTGTCAGATATAGAGAGAAGAAGGAAGAGAGTTTGCAATATAATTAGGACACAAGTGATGATTGTCTTTCTGAGAAAAGCCAAAGAGAAAGTGGCGTAACAGTTGGACTGTGCCGACAAACAGCACGCTCAGGCGGCAGTATGCAGTGCACCGCTCCAAAAGGTTATTACTGCTTTCCATAAGTGAAAGTAAGAATATATATATATAGATTTTGCACATAAATAATGAACAGAGAACCTACTGAATCAATTGAGAGGAATAGCGGCTGAGTCATTCATCGATAGATAGAGCTTAGACTCAGAATCTCGCCTATAAAAGATAAATTTCTAAAATTATTGTATCTATCTTTATAGCGCTGCTTATTGGACTGCTATTTCTAATTAACCTTATCTAACAAGTTTTTCTATAATTTAGAATTTAAATAATATTATTGACTAAGAACGAAGTGATCTTCTTCATTTATTAGCGGCTAATATTTTCGTAGAATTGACCGAGCTAACGCTTCATGCCATAGCCAGTCCTTTTTTCATTATTTCACTTTTTTTTTATCTGAATCATTAATTAGAGGATCAGAAAAGGAAAAGGGAGACTACTAAAGCTTATTCTTCAATTATAAAATAGGTCAGTTACGAGCCCTGAATCACTCCAACAAAATTTTTACTGCTATGGTTTCAATATAAATAAATATTTATCAGCATATGCAATGGTTTCAAAATGCATATCTAAACAGTACAATTTCAATTTTCAAATTTATTTTTCAATAAAACTACAAAAACTCTTTTTTGAAGTTCTAATCAAATCTATGTACATACGGGCTGGCTAATTCTTTGTAGTAATTAAACTTAGAGATACTAGAATGTTAAGATTTAGTTATCGAATGAATATATATTCACAACTGGCCAGCATTGTGTTCCGATCTAGAATCCACTACTTGTAAATATTTTCAGTACAAAAAGTAGATCAATCAATTTGTGAAATTCAACTTTTTGATACTCCTAAATCGACGTAAAGAATTGGTTTTCTTCTTTGGAAAAATACAATAGGGATGGACAGGGAAAAAATAAAGAACGAAATAAAGAAGAACTGGTTGAATATACCTAGATTCCGAGGAGAATGTTCAGTCTCGTGAGCTTTTGTGCTGGAACTAGAACCGCACGCTGTCTACCTAGATTCTTCTATATAGTTTTTCCTAGTTCACAAACCCAAAGAAACCAACACCCTGTGATCTTTCTTCCAACTTTAATTTATTGTCTCCCACGTCAAAAACAATTTAAAATTTGAAGTTTATAAGTTTTTTCATTATCTTAACTTAATATAATAATAATAATAATAATAATAATAGTAATAGTAATAATAATAAGTGAGTTCTCAATCAAACAGTTATAGATATATAGTGAGTTTTTAATATATATGTCTAGAGAATGAATAAAAAGCTACTGAATTCATATAAACTATTATTATATTTATCCGCCCTTGGCCACAAGGGCAATATACCAATTACAGATGCAATTTATTTGTATATTGCGTTGTGTGCTCTTAATTTAATGTGTTTCACACACCTATATTACATTCTTCTGTCCGTTTAATCTGTCACTTTAATTAAAAAAAAAATTGTCATTTTAAAAACTAATTAAGGCATGAACACTTTTTATCAATACCACTCAAGTATCAAACTGTTTTTCTTAGTTAGACTTAGTATATATGTTAAATTGCTTTCTCATCAGAATTCTGCACGTACGGAAGGGATGAAATCACCAATGAAAAACTTGAATAGCTAACGAACCACACAATTAACAGCTGATCTACATATAGATACATCATGCTTTGAATTAAGGTACATTAAAAATATTAACTCTTCAAGAATGAAACATATAATAAAAAATGGCAAGCTTATATCAGAGTTAATTATATCAAGTGAAACGATAATTACATTTCATCCATGAAGTTGGTCTAAACAAACCCTAACTAATTACTATTACACATCCAAACTCGCAATAGAAATTACTCACGAGAAAATATATAGTATAAACGTTGAGAAAACAATGCTGCTATCCAAATAAAGCATGCATGAAAAAGAACATAAGTTCTTGGACCGAGAATTATTTGATATATCAACTTATGATCCATACAAGAACTCATAATCGTCAAATTCTGGATGCGCCTCGTGAAATCCTAGTAATTTGATGTTCCTTGATCTAATACTCTTCGCCTTTTAGACCGTTCACCAGTACCATAACTCGAACGTTGTACTATAGACCTCAAAGCATCTCTTAAGAACAAGAGAGACTCATCACTACTATGATCTTTATCAACAGCTAATACAATCACATTACGAATTCTCCCTCCTAATGTGACCATTTCAGCTCTTAGAGGACTCAATCCGAGTGATTTTAGGGTTTCGATTAGGTCAGGGATGAGATCGAACCGATCATCGCAACAAAGGGAAGCCTTAATGAGTAATCTCCCATCAGATAAGCAATCATTTGATGATAGCACTGTGATTTCATCAGTTTCAGAAGGGAAGTTTGTTTCATCAAGTTGCATGATTTCAGAAGTCTGTTGTTTTAGCTCCCTCACACGTTGAACCACTTTGGCTAGCAAAGATGCTTTATCTGTCTGTAAAATGAAAAAAACACATTCAAAAAGAGAGCAAAAAAGAGTAATCTTCTTTTTTTTGTAGAAAAAGTGAAACTACTTTTCAAATCCCATGTAATGTATATGGGACCTTTTCACTACGGTGTTCTAATAAATCAGA